CTTAAGACATCAAAGGCGTGTTTCTCGTTCATGTGGCATGTCCTTCAGGGGTTGGGAATAGGGCTATGTTCATTGGATCCTTCAGTGTTCCTCGAATGATCATGGAGGGGGGGCGGGGGCGGGGAAGGGATGTCATCTGAAATTCTGTCGTGGGCCAGAGGGAAGAGATATCTGAGAAAGGCTCCAACTCAGCCCTTAGGTGCTGGAGGCGGCACTCATCCGTCTGGCCACTCCTTGCTGAGCACACAGTCGCTTGTCCACCCACATCCACAGGGCCGTCAGTGCAATTCCAAGAAGAGAGAAAGCCATTGACAGGCAGAGGAACCAACCACACCGAAAGCGTTGAGCTACGGACAGTAGCTCTGACCCTGCTTCTCAGGTTCCTTTCAGTCTGGTAGAGGAGATAAGAGACGGCAGAAGGCAGGATTCCACAGACACTATTTCTGAGCTTCCATCAGAGTCCCCTGGAGCCTGGAGGATGAATGGGGTGATTAATTCCCATGCACTGCTTAGGACATGGAGGAAATTCATTACCAGGAGCTGGCGGGCTCTGTGAAGATGTTATGTGGGAGACGAGAACCAGGGCAGTAATAGCTCATCATTTTTAAACTTCCAGTGAAGGCTGTCATCATCAAGCCCATAATTTATTTAAACATCTATCTGTCTATGCATTGGACCCAGTGAGCAGCAGATATATCCTGCCCTCCAGGAGGGCATGGGAACCAGGGGGGGGTCACATTCCTATCAGACTTGCAGAGTAGGGCAGGAACACCTGGGACACATGCAAATTGAAAATATTTATTTTGAGCACAAGTCATCTTTCAATTGTAGATGTTCATTGGGCACTCGTTTAGTACAAGAAAACAAAACAAAAAAAGAGACAAGATTGGAAAACACAGAAAGATGGAGGGCTGAACCCTGTCCTCCGAATGTTTATAAATATTTAGAGAGGTAAGATAGAGATGGGTGTATTTCAATAAAAATACTGGTATGATTAATGCCTTCAATGATGGGTTCAGGCACGTTGATTGGTATATGAAGAGGGGAAGAAAACTTCCCTGGTCACAGAGATGTTCAGGACTGAAAATAGAGGGTTTGGGTCAGTGGTGGGGTGAGGTGAGCGAGGGAAGGAGACGGCATGAGAAATGACATTCATGCAAGTGTCTAGGAAGGAAGATGAGAGCCCCAAGTAGAGTTGATCAGGAACGGGGCCTCTGCATAGGTGTGCAGGTCGCCGAGAAGAAAGGAAATTAGGGAACGCGTAGAAGGAAGGTTGAGTTGCAGGTGTAGATTTGATCTGAGGAGCAGTGAGGAAGTTGGGAAAACACAAAAACATGTTTTCTGGAAGCATGGGCTATTCAAGGGTCAAGGCCTGCATGAGGTGCCTTACGGACATCACCATGTCTAGGCTTCACCACTGCAGGGTGGCAGGAGTGATCCTACTTCTGCACTGGGAAACTGAGGCTCACAGGCTTCCTGGGTAAGAGGTTGGTTGGAAAGTCAAGCCCAGAGCTGTGTGATGTCACACCCATGGTTCTTCTATCCTACCTTCTGGCTGTGATGACTGTGGGCAGGAATTAGGACATAAAATTATACTTAGTAAGATGAAGCATTCTGAGGCCTAGGGAGAGGCTCGGAGACCGATAAGGAGGTGATTACAGGTACCTTGATTTTGGTAAGGATCTGAATTGAGGTAGTGATGGGGGAGATCGGTGTGTGACCAAACATGTAGCCACGAATCATAGGGAAACCATATGAAATTGCCAAATTAGGAGGAGAGATGGCAATATTGATTTCAGACTTGCGAAGACCACAGATAGCCAGGTAGTTATTTGGCGTTATTGGAGTGGATGAGTAATGTGATGCGAATTAGAAGCGTAGGCACCCTGCAGGCATAAGCATTGCCTACAGAACTTGAAAGACTAAATATATTCATTTAGTAGATGACATTTTAATAGAGGGGATGGGCTGGACATGGAGAGGAACCTGCTCTCCTAACACACATGGGACTGAGACAAGATGATCTTGAGTTGATGCAAGCCTGGGTTACAAAGGAATCAGAATATGGAGGAGAGGAGGGAGAGAGAAGGATAGAGAGACACACAGACAGACACGGAGAGAGAATATCTACAAATAAAGTTTAGCAATGGGCCTTCTCTAGGGTTGTGTTTCTTGGCTGGGAATTCCTGGAGCGGTTGCCTCCTGGGTTCCTGAAATGTTCCCTAGAGCTTCCACCCCACAGTGTGTCTGATCGATCATCTCAACTTTGCTCATCTGCACAGTGCACCTGCCCTTCTGCATCCCACCGCTGTAGTTTGGAGACAAGCCTGGCCTGCTTGTGCCATGGATGTGGGACTTCTGGGCTTCCTGAAGCAAACCAATCTCGGCATCCTCCATCCTCGCGCGCTGTGTCATAGGGCTGCTCAGCCTCTTGTGCACACCGGCAGATTGCACTCTGTGACATGGGATAATTAAATGTCCTACAGACATACAGTGTTTGAGTGGAGCAGCCCTTAATCCACATCCACCACTGCCACAAGGTCACATAAATACTCCCAGTTCTTATCATCCTGCAATATCATCTGATGCTGGAGAATTTCATAAACAAACTTGGATGTGCAATAAAAGGAGTCCCTACACCCAGCAGGCAATCAAATTTCTACATCTTAAAAGCCCCAATGAATTATATACATAGTAACCAAGTTTGTCCTCATAAAAGTCATTCTGCCATCCTCAAACTCATCATAAAAGATCTATATTAAAAATCAGCATCCTGATGTCCATATAAGATTGAAGCAAAAAAATAAAAATAAAATAAAAAAAAAATCCTGTGGAGTCTGGTTCTCCCAGGGCCCGAGGCAACCCTGGCTGGCTCAGCTTGGCTTGGTTCCTGTGAACCAAGTGTAACTGAAGGTCCTCATCAGCGAGGTATTCAACCAAGCAAGCCCAGGAGTCCCTGCGGCCTTACACTGTGTATTACACCCACCTTGGGAAGCAGCAGGACCATCTAAAACCACAGATTTAACTGGTGTGTTAATCATCTCTTTCCGGAGGCTCTGCCGGGCCTGAGTATTACCAGCCTTGGCATTTATTTTATCAATACATCCTGGAATTATTTTTCAAAATCTGACATTAATTTTTGTGGCTGTTTCATGTGGTGACAATAATCTCTTTCCCTCCCCCCGGTCCATCTTTTCTCTGCTTATTCTGTTCCTTAAAGCTAAAACTACAGTCCTTTGGCCTGTGAGAGATCTCGTGAGTTTGTAGAGTAATGTCAAGTATCAGACAGAGGTCCCTTGGGCTCAGAAGAGGCCCACCTCAAGAGGAGGTTCTGGGATACCTCTTGGGGACTCATATGTCCCCCGGATAAGAGACAGCCTTTCTAGGGTTACAAAAACCAGTGTGATTCCAGAGCCCACCCTTGTTCTGAGTGAACGACTCCATCCACTACAACATCCCGACTGCACTACGAACTAGATCTCATCAGGTAAAGACACTGGGGGCCGGAGGCTTGAGGGACCCTTCAAGCACTGAAAGCCTTCCTCCCTGACCTGTGATGCTGAGGTAGCCATGGAGATGAGATGCAGCTGCAGAGGCTACAACAGAAGATGAGGATCCCCGCACCGTGCTCCGGCAAGGTCTGGTCTCGCCACCTTGGAGCCCACACTTTTCTGCTCTGTGGCCACTCCCACCCTCCGTGTCTCCTCTGTTCCTCACTTCTCTGCACCTCCTTGTGTCCCTTAATGGAGGCTACAGAAAGGGAGATGTCTTGGGGAGGGGGAGATGAGTGGATACCCACCACTCTGGGGCCACTGAGGCTGTATAGTCCTCACTGGGACACATCTGTGATCACAGGGCCAAGAGCAGAAGAGGCTACCTCAAGCTCCCCCTTTGATGGCCTTTGCTGTTCTCAAGACCTTAAAACTGAAGGGCCACACTTCTTCCTTCTCCAAGTTGAGGGAGTGGTTTTAGCGAGACTCTTGAGAGATTTTGAGAATTTTACCCTTTCTTTACCAAGGGAGGGCTGGGGCCTCAGAGACAATGACCATGATGCTTCCATGACCTTAGGTGCCTGTATGAGGTTTCTGGAGTAGCTTAGATTCGTCATAAATGAGAGCTTTCACCAATTCCCCTCCTTTTCAATGACCTCTAACCCTAAGGCCACAAGCCAGGGCTGACTGCATTCCACTTTCTTCCTGGCCACACTTGTTATCTCCAGATTATAAGGGAGAAGCATGTTTGGGAGCTGAAGATGATGCTTTGTTCTAGGTGTGCTGAATTTGAGCATCCTTGGGCTCACCGAGTCTCATGAGGGCTTTGGAAGTTTGGGCCAGTGGATGGAAGAATTTCCGAAGTGTTGTCCTTCTAGGTAGAAATGCTGAAATCACGCAATACTGGAGACGACCCGAGACAACAAAACAAGAACTAGGAATCAAGAAGGGGAATTTGGATGACAACTCACCTTGACTGAAGACAGAGAGCATATGAAAAGAACCGAGAGATGGTGAGAGGCTCAAGATCGGGTTATAGTAGCTCAGAGGTAGAGCAATTGCCTGGTGTGTTGTGTGTGAGGACCTGGACCCCACTCACAGTACCACACAAGAAAACAAGAGGGAGGAGGAAAGGAGCAGAATCAGGGAAGCTGTGTTGGAGAGTCTGAAAAATGTCTTCATGACAGAGGGTGTGCCTAGGAGGGTCATAAAGGGTCACTTCTGGTAGCAGCTGGATGTCACGTGAGGCTCGTGAGCAGTAAGGATGGAAATCTACCTGCAGCACCCACCTCCCTCGGGGAATGGATTCCTATTTTCTACTTCCCCTCCCCACCCACACAATTAGCAAATAATCCCAAGCCATTTTAATTAAATGCACAAACCGAATAGGCACACTTTTGCAGCACAAAGGACTAACTTCTGTCCTCATCTGGGAGACTCTTGCTTGGCAAATGTCACCAATTTAAAAATAGTTTTCAAAATAAAATGGTCCATGTTCTTTCCCCACTTGGCTTGCACGCAATACGTTAGGTTATTTCTGTGGCTATTAGGACCGCTCTGATCTACCTAATTTGGGAGCAGGCTGTTACCTCAGAAGACTCTAAATTGGGTGCATTCTTGACTATTTCTGCGAAAACTTGATGTTTCTTAAATGTCACTTTCTGAACTTTAGATATGCAAACACAGAGGGAAAGTCTAAGGCGCAACGATTTCTTTTTTACAACACTGATTAGATTTGTCTAAATCATTGGGTCAGGTCTGACAGTTGTATTAAAATCTTTTTTTTTTAAATGATAGAAACCAGAAGCTTCTATCTAAAGTATACATCCTTTCCTGTTGTTTTGGAAAGTCAACGGCTCATGCTTCATATGCAAAACCTTGAACTTGGGACCATTATGTACATATCCTCAAGTGTTGGCTGCCCATTTTTTTTTTTTTTAATAAACTTGATATTCCAGAGCTCTGCTGTTCCATCAAGGCGTCGCCCAAGGCAGCTTTCCTGGACTTGCAGTTTAACGGAGCATTAGATTGATATAGCCCAGTATTCTTGTTCGTATAAATATTTTAAGTTGGAAAAATCCTTTTTGTTATTTTTCTCTCTGCCTAAGAAATACTTTCATGGTTTTTCCCATAACAGGGCAGTGTGACTTCAGTAACCCTGCATCAGGTGACTAGGAAGTGGCTTCTTGGCCCGCTGGCTTTCCACGGCTGTTCTAGAAACAGAGAATCTGCAGAGACACGACACTTCTAGGCCAATGAAAAGTGCCTCATTTCCAGTAAACTGTTCATCCGCTCTCTTTCTTGGTTCCGGATGTGGGAAAATGAACTGAGGGATGAATAGAGCAGCCAGCCCAAGCATCACACTTTCAACCCTAGAATGAGTCCTTAAAAGCTTCCGGTTCCCTTCCTGTGGTGGAACTGGGTTTTCACTCAAGAACTGCTTCTGTGACTAATTCCAGTCTCCAGTTCTCCTCCTTCCTTGTCTTCCTCTGAGGGGAGGGAGGGGGTCGTGGCTACTCCCTGTTCCCTTTCTCTGTTGCTTTTGACTTGCTGGTTCACGTCTTTGTCTCCCTCCGTTGCTCTCATTGACTTAGAGTCCCTCAGCATGAAGGGCACATCTTTCCTTTCTTTGTTCTCTGAGTCAAACCATCTAGGCAGGGATGGACTCTCTAGGCATAAAAGGGGCGGTTTTCACCAGCATTCATGGAAGAAGTTGTTAGGAAAGAAAGATGTGTGGCCTGATCCAGGGTTGTTCTACATTAGCTATGTGTCTTAACACATTTTTCACTCAGTCCTCCTCCTCTCTCTATCTCTGTCTCTGTCTCTGTCTCTCTCTGTCTCCGTCTCCGTGTGTGTGTGTGTGTGTGTGTGTGTGTGTGTGTGTGTGTGTGTGTTTGGTTGAGGTCTTGCTATATGGTCCCATCTGTTCTGAAACTTATCTCAAGACCCAACTGGCCTTGAACTTGCAGTGATTTTTTTCCCCTCTGCCCTTGAGTGCTGGGGTTACTTGTGGGTTCCCAGGCCCAGCTGCCCTGCGGTTCTCATCCAAATCTCCAATGGAAATCCGCACACTGACCAAAGAGTTGGTGTGTGTTTTCACGTGTATGCAAAAGAGAGAGCACACGGAGTCTCCAACCCTCATCAGAGGTCCGAGATGCACAGAAGCTTGGAGAACCAGTCCCTTCCTGTATGGGAACAGCAGGTAGCCTGTGCAGTAACTCAGTATATTTTAGGAACCAGTCCACACTCCTGTAGACAGGAGGGAACTTATCATTTGAACCATCAGAGATATGCTGGCATGGAAGCAGGCTCTCAGTTGGTTAGGAGTGACAGTCCAGTTTAGCCGGGAGACTCTGGGATGCTAGCATGCTCGGTCCTCCACTGTGGTTAGTGTGCTTGGCACTGATTTGTCCCAGGTTTTGCCTCTATCGGCTTTTCCGGGTTGCATTCCGGTTGTAAATCCAGACAACAGCCATTTCTTCAAGCTGCGCCTGACTGTTAGAGTTCATGGGCAGGCAAACAGTAACCTCTGTTAGGGGGAAGCAAGGACACAGGAGCAAGAGCAGACTTATTTTTTTTTTTTTTTTAAGGAAGACAATTGAATGTTTCATCCGGATCCAGAGGCGCATTAGATTAAACAGCAGCTCCACTTGGCAAAGAGCTGTTACATGATGGTGTCCAAGAAAAATGGTTGATGGACAAATTCAGAAATGCTTCCCCAAAGGCAGATGGTTCTTTGAAAAGTTTCACAACCCTTGCAGAAAACGCCGATGCCCAACACGCTGATTCTAAATCCAAGAGACATGGGTCTTCTCAGTTCCGTGTGGCACGAGTGCCCCAACAAGCGTGTATCTGTGCTCTAATAAAAGGGTCCTTTGGACTGGACAGTAGAGATGGGAGCAAAGTCGTAGTGGATGGCAGTGTAAAAGATGATCCAAATAACCATGAACAAGGCAAACGAAGTCATAAATCCTTCTTTGGTGAGCTCCCATGTGCCACCATATTCCTCCGCATCGATTTGTAGGTAGTTGCTGAAGTAGAGATACAGGACTCCTGCATTGATCAGGCAGAATCCTGCTATTCCCAAGAAGCCTCGCAAGGGCAAAATGCCCCAAATGACACCCGAGACCACGGCAATGATCTGTCGGAACCAGTAGATGACGTCTAAAAATTCATCCTTCCCCGGCGGCTTTCCGGCCCGCGTGGCCTCGGCGGGGTGCGGGGTGCGGGACAGCCGGCCGGGGCTCGGGGCGCCCGGGGGAGCGCGCCGCGTACCTGCCAGGTCTGACACCCGCCTGACAGCTCGCGGCTGGAAAGCACCTCCAAGAGCAGACTTATAAAACCAACCTCCAAATAGACAGCAAAGTATGACCTTCATGGAGAGCGTCCTGCACCGCTTAAGCGGGGAAACAGTTCACCAAACTGGAAACAGACGTATGAGAGATTTTTAACCACGATTCAAGTAAATTACCTTAGTTCATCAATACCAATATTTCATTGACGGCTTAAGGGCTAGAGTGAATCACGTCTCTGCTGACTCCATTAGGAAACTTCTTGAAGGTCCAGCTGGAGTGGGATTGAGGAGCCAGCAATGTCAGGTGATCTGTGAGTTCCTGGAAGATGGGCCACACTTCTCTGACAGGCTCAAGTGTCCTCTCACTCCGTGAAGAAGGATTCATACACTCAGCTGCACAGACAGCTGTGGCCAAGAGAGGCAGAGTCTGGCCCTTCCTGGAGTGGCTGGCTCGTTGGAGATTTGTACTAGTAATTCGCTTGTTGCCATGGCAACCACTGGAATGCTGAGGAGTACATTTGTTCATTTTATTATTATTCTATTATTTATACTGAAGCATCTTTGAGAGGATGATACATTTCTTAGGAGGAATCAGAAATGCTCCCCTCACCCCCGCCCAGACAAAAGAGGCATTTAGCTATAAGGTACCCCAAACTGGATATACCTGTTTGCTAATCATTAGAGGCATAGTCTCTTTCCCAGAATCCTTGAGGGAAATCTTCACTCCCTGGTGGGATTTGTGTGCTAGTCACAAACTAGGGGAGTGGCAGGTCTCACCGATCAAGCTCAGGCCTCAGTAATATGTAGACATTCCTTCAGTAATATGTAGACATTCCTTCTATGTCAGAGTATATTTAGTGTCCATTCTGGGTCCTCTTATAGTTCATGGATAGTCATACTTAATTACTTAAAATATGTCACCATATACAGAAATAAGGGACCTTTCTTATAAACTCACCTGGGAAAACTTCTTCCTCAACTCTGCAAACAATGCAAGGGCTAGGAATAAAATACAATGTTCTCACAAATCCAGTGAAATAAATAAACAAATAGGGATGGAGATATGGATGCCAGCAAACCGCCCAACCTTTAAGATTTAGTGACAGTAATTTAGTACACTTCTAACTTGTGTTGACAGGATTTCAGGGATTTTGAAGTAAAGGGTACTGGGATGAGGGAAATCGAAAGTGAAAGAACGTTAGAGTTAAGTGAGCAGAAATACAAGGTTAAAGACCTTCCTCTTAGAACATTGATTATTGGGTGTAAGTGACTGCATATGTAACAATTTAGCACATGTATAGGAGGTTTTTATATAATATATATATATATATATATATATATATATATATATATATACACACACACACACACACACACACACATATATAATGTACACTGGAGCCAATCTAAAGTCTACAACAGAGAAACTACATTACTATTGGCTCAGGCAAACAAAGAAGTCCCAGCTTAAACAAGCACGAAGACCCAAGTTTGAATCCCAAGTACATAAAAAGCTGTGCGTGCCTGGCAGTGTGTGCCTCTAACTTCAGTGCTGAAGGCAGGGGCTGGGGGGCTCACTTGGGTAGGTTCCCTGGACACCCACCATTCTCCTCTATCCTCTATATGTGCCAAACAGACATGAACAGCTACACACGTGCATATGCACACCACACACAAATTAACTGATTAATTAATGAAAGTGTGCTTACATGGAAAAGCACCTATAATTTACTGGAATTATTAAAAAAGGAGGGGAAAAAGTGAGCAGATTACCAACAGTATATACCTTGCAATCACATTTAGTTTAAAATATGCAAGTTTGGGGCCTAGAAATATAGCTCAGTGAGAGCCCCTGCTTGGCACATGTAGGGCTCTGGGCTGTACTCTCAGCATTGCAAAAAAAATTGTTCTTGTTGCCATTTCTCTGTGTGTTTATCTATATGTACAGAGGAAGAAAATAGGAGGTCCTCAAATATTGAATAACCATCATCTTTGATGATAGGATCATATGTCTTGCATTATTCTCCTCAACAGATTGCAAGATTAAAATATGACCTTAATTGCATTCTGTCTATGACTTGTTAATCACCTATTGTGTGCCAGGTTTTAGATCATGTGCTGAAAATACAGAGGTGAATGAGAGACCCGGCCTGTTATTCTGGAGATTGTTGTTTTGTTTTGACAAAGGGTCATACTCTGTAGGCTAGACTGGCCTGGAACTCACTGACATCCACCTGCTTCAGCCTCCCACATGCTGGGATTACAAGTGTGAGCCACTGTGCCCTGTGAACTCATGGCTTGTGTCTGAGTATATTAACCACTGTGCCTAGATTAAGTAGATGTGTGATTTATGAAGTCAATCACTGAAATTGTTGACATAGGAGGAACAGATAGACGCCTTCATGAGCAATGCCCCAAATCCCACGACTTGTCAATCAGAAAATGAAGGGAGTTTGACCTTACTGCAGTTCCCTCCACTAACCAACACGACTTCTGAGCCAAGATGGTGGTCATTTCTGCCCCTCCAGGAGAACTGGACACCAGCTGTCCCATGCAGCAGCGAAGATGAAGGCCACACATGGGTGTGGAGTCCTGTGTGTAGACGGAGAGATGCCGCCGGAACCGGATCAGAAGCCTGCATCTGATCAGGAGGAGCCTGGGAGGGTGGGATCTGAACTCTGCTCCACTGGGGCTGGATTCCTAGCACGGGCGTTTTCCTCCTTAGAGAGTTTCTCAAATGATGACTGGCCAACAGGCACCTAATAGACGTGCTCATTGGTTATTAAGAGCAATCTGACATTTGTGAATACTGTGTAGGCACATCAGCTCAAACATGCTAAAGGGACTGAGACAATTAAAAGGCACATAAACCTCAGCCAGGTTGATACTGGTTTATTTGGGTTGCATCAAGGGACTCAAATGTCACCAGACTCTCTATGTCTTGTCGGGTTCTTTTATGTGGAGAACACACACACACACACACACACACACACACACACACACACACACACACACACCCCACATTGCAACCATCTTCCAAATCATTAACAGAAATGAACAATTTCTTCAGATTTCAGACAGAAAAGTCCTCATAAAGGACTCTGCTTGTTCTACATTGGGCCACATGGTTGTCCTTCAGCCAATCTTGTGCAAAGGGTCTGGAGTCATAAGGCTAGCCCCTGTATAAAACAGAACGGTTGCTTATAGACAAAAGCGCATCCCTGCTTTACCACTTACTAGGTGAACCATCCAGGGCAAATTGATTTCTCTGAGGCTCAGGTTCCTGAGAAGTAAAAACGCAAGAGTGCCTATAGGAACATGTGGTTTAACGTGAATAAAAGGTGAAAAGGACTTCCTATTCAAAAAGTAAAAGAGAGACACCTGACGTCATCAATAATAGGATAGAAGAATTTATATTACAATTCTATTTTATTATTCAACTGAAGAGAGACATGATAGGCAGTGGGAACTCATACTTTCCTACTGCACAGTCAATCGGGCTATTGAAACAGCGAGTCTGGAGTTTACAAAGAGGTCTAGGCTTCAGTCTGCTGACTGCAAGAGCTCCCTCTGTAACTGAAGTAAGAGACCGGAGTGTATGACCTCTCACGGGACAAAGAGCTATGAGGGGAAAGATGAATAGAACACAACACTGTAACGCCGCCTCCACACCCAACAGAGTGCAAGCCGCCAGTGCACCCTCCCCCTCCTCCTCTCTCTCCATTTTCAACAAGGTTCCTTGTAGCTCAGGCTGGCCTCAAACTGGCTGTGTAGCTAAGGATGACCTTGAACTTCTGCTCTTTAGGCCTCCACCTCCCAAGTGTTAGAAATTATAGGGGCACGCAACCATGCCCCTGCAGAGCTGGTGGATGAGCCCAGGGCTCTGCGCTTGCTAGGCAAGCACGCCACCAGTTGAGCTACACGTCCTGCCCAACGCGATCTTTTTCCTAAAGTCACACTGCTATTTTACACTTAGGTCTCTCCCCGAGATTTTCTACACACTTCAAGGACTCTGAAAAGATGCAGATCATTGGACTACATCAAAATTAAAGGGTTTGGGATCCGGAGTGATGGCGCGGAGGTGAAGGGCACCATCCGCTCTTCCAGAGGACCCCAGTTTGACTCCCAGAACCCACATGGTGGCTCACGGCTGTCTGGAATCCATTTCCAAGTGATTTCAAACCCTCATACAGACATACGTAACTCAAGAATAAATAAATCACAAAAACTGAAGATTGTTTAAATAAAGTAACTATCAACAGAGGGCGACAGCGAGGAAACTGAGCAGGTTTATCACTCAGAGTGTGAGCGGACTTCTCAGGTTAACAAATGTAAATTGGGGTGCTATAGTTATCCCAGGTGCACCCACAGAGGCATTGCATAAAGATGGTTTTGGTTTTGTAATGGCAGAGGCTTGGAAATGAGAGTCATTGAGGGGAAAACACTTGCCACAACACAAGCCTGACAACTGAGTTGGGTCCCTGGAACCCATGTGAAGACAGAAGGAGAGAATGGACTCAACAGAGTTGCTCTCTGATATTCAGGCTGTGGCACACATGCTGTGCATGAAACACACACACACACACACACACACACACACACACACAGTTGGACTTTCTTTGGACTGCCAGTTCACAAATAATGACACAAAGACTTCTTACTAATTATGAATGCTTGGCCTTAGCTTAGGCTTGTTCCCAACTAGCTCTTAAAACTTAACCTGTTTATATTAATCTACATTCTGCCATGTGGCTTGTTGCCTCTCCTCCACACTGTACATCTGACTTGCTCCATGTCTCTCTGGCAAATCCTCTCTTCTTCCCAGAGTTCCTATCTCTGCCTGGAAGTCCCTCCTATCCTCTCCTGCCTAGGTATTGGCCATTCAGCCCTTTATTAAACCAATCAGAAGGTTCCTCGGCAGATACACATCTTCACAGTGTACAAAAAGATTATTCCACAAAACACACACACACACACACACACACACACACACACACACACACACTAAAGAGATCTGGATGGAGAAACAGCTTTGCTGTTGAAAGAGAAGGAAACCTTTACCTCTGCCATTTTGAGGGCTGGACAATTAAATCTGGAACATAAGATGACAACAGGCTGATTAACAGAAGTGAAGGGACACGAATTTGCCTTGTGCCTGGATACATCGGGGGAGCAGACACACCTACCCTGTGGTTTCTAAAAGCTTGCACCCTCTTAATAGGAGAGGGTCTGGGGTGGTTTAGATAGCTTAGGAGAAAGTAAGTGATTGGGGAACAAAATAAAGGGAAAGCTTTATTATCTGTTTCTCCAGCCAGATCTCTTTAGCGTGTGTGTGTGTGTGTGTGTGTGTGTGTGTGTGTGTGTGTGTGTGTGTGTGTAAGAGAGAGAAACAGAGACAGAGAGACAGAGAGAGATTTATTGAGCAAAATGTTCATTGACATATATCTCTATCACCTTT